TACACAGCTCCCTGTTTCTGTTTAAACCAGGGATGGGCAGTTAAGACCTTAGAGATCCTAGTTCTGTACTTCGGAGAATCTGGAACATCTAAATCATTTCCACATGCTACGTTCTCCATGGTCAATCTGCCCGCTCTCCCCCGACAGCATGCCATGAGTGTGATCGGGATTCCCGAGCAGGAGCAGGACCTGGTGCTGCAGATCGTGGCTGGGGTGCTGCACCTTGGCAACATCGGCTTCAGGGAGGCCAGCAACTACGCCACCGTGGAGAGAGAAGAGAGTAGGTGTGCCCGCTTTGCCCTGCCCGCATCGAGGAAGGCCCCAACTTACCCTGGAGGCTCACCAGGGGACATAACAGAGCATAACTGAGCTTCTTTTCTTGTCCTCTCTCTGCCAAGTCTCATAGTGTTAGGCCAGAAGTTTGGTTGTCACATTACAAAACAAAACACAATTTTGAGAGCCATGCATATTACATCACAGGTTGAAAACTGATATACTGTATTTCCTGTATGATCTTTCTTCTGCTTCAAGTGCAGCAGATGGCTTGGAAATGTTCGGGTTTTCTAGGTAACACAAACAAACTGTATTGAAGTAAAGCACAATGTCACCGCGCATTGATCTTCAGTTCAGTTGCCGTTTCACTGTTAAGGGTGTCAGGCATGGGCAGTGCTGGCCAGAAGAATTAGATCTTGCATTCTGATGTGGGAGCAGAAGATTGATCTTAGTGATCCACTAGATTACTGTGCAAATGAGCTGTACTGCCTAGGGCGTAAATGGCCCTGGACCATCGGGCACATTTAACTGGTTTCCTGTGGTCTTGATGGGAAACGTCAGCCCAGTATAAGCAGCACAAAATCACTCTGCATTAACAATAAAAATGAATAATGTTCCTGTGAACAGATTCGAAACATTACGGAAAGTTATGAGTTTATAGATTGTTTTATAGCCTCATTTGGCAGAGTCAGGATTCAGTGTGGCTCCCATCCTTCAGCAGAGTCCTGAGAAGGTTTACAGTGTCCCTCTCACTGGCAGAAACTACCCCCCCCCCCCCCCAGGAGTCTAACTGCCCCTAGCGTGGTGGGTAGCAACCTCATAAAAGTGTCCTTCTGGTCCTTCAGTGCTGGCATTTCCCGCCTTCCTGCTGGGCATCGATCAGACGCGACTGAAGGAAAAGCTCACCAGTCGGAAGATGGACAGCAAGTGGGGGGGACGGTCTGAGTCCATCGACGTGACCCTCAATGTGGAGCAGGCGTGTTACACGCGTGACGCACTCGCTAAGGCCCTGCACACCCGCCTCTTCGACTTCCTGGTAGAGGTACAAATGCCTGCCATCTTTCAATCATGCTGCCTGTCAGTCTACAATTACACACTAATTAAAACAGATTGAGAATATTACTGTTTGGACCACTGAAGAGATCAATACGCCAGTGCCATGTTTTCCATTCCCAGTCCATCAACAAAGCCATGGTGAAGGATCAGCAGGAGATCAACATAGGGGTTTTAGATATATACGGATTTGAAATCTTCCAGGTAAGCAAAAGTACAGCCGTACTGGACTGATTGGGAAGCTGGGAATTTTCCACGCTGTTTATGTTATCAGGCAACTCTAGACATATCGGAAATCCCCCCTCATTTGGCAAAATTTGTGGGGATCCCCATTTGCTCGACACCCCTGCAATTCTGCATTCTGCCAGATGATTAAAGGAGTTCATTAACAATTTGAATCTAGCAGTTCTTTCCATTTCATGATTTCTCAGCTGTCTCATGAATGTCAGTTTCACTGCAGATATGAACTGAATATCACGCACTAGCTAAAGCAGGGACACAGA